TTTGTTCTTTGCTTCTGCTTTGTCCGTTCTCTGTCTAGTTCAACTGTCACTGGAAAAGCTGCCCATGTCTCTCTGGGGCAGACTTTTCAGACTGGATGGGGCTAGGGCAGGATGAGGGAGAGGGTGTGTGGGAGCAAACGCTGAGAGACCTGCGTGGTCATCTGCCTCTGGCACCCACTGGGTGGGCTGACGAGCAAGCCTCAGTTGACTGCTCTAAAAATAGGGGTGGTGATTCTACCTGCCTGGCCTGCTCCCTGGGGTGAGGCTGGAGGAAGTGTTTATACACACTGTTTTGGTGGGACTTAGCCAGCTCTTCAAAAAAGGGAGGAGAGGGTCTTTATCAGAAAGGCCAAGGTTGGGCCCCTGTCTCACCTCTGTCACTCACTACTCCGGACCATTTTGCCTCTCCCTTCTAGCAGGCCAGTGTCTTGAAGGTACTGACCCCCTCTCTTTCCTCCCTCTGGGGCCCTCCCTTCTTCCTAGCCAACTTCACATTACCAGACGTTGGGGACTTCCTGGACGAGGTGCTGTTCATTGAGCTACAACGGGAGGAAGCAGACAAGCTGGTGAGGCAATACAACGAGGAAGGCCGCAAAGCTGGACCACCCCCTGAAAAGCGCTTTGACAACCGAGGCGGCGGTGGCTTCCGGGGCCGTGGGGGTGGCGGTGGTTTCCAGCGCTATGACAACCGGGGCCCCCCCGGGGGCAACCGAGGAGGCTTCCAGAACCGAGGGGGAGGCAGCGGTGGAGGAGGCAACTACCGAGGAGGTGAGACATCTCACACAGAGCTCTCCCTACTTTTGGTTCCCAGGTCAGGGTTCTGCTTTGTGACTCCTTATTCAGGTAGCAGATGAAGTCTCCCTGGCATCAGCAGTCAGTTGAACTCTGATAGAGAACCAAGATGAGTCAGATTCTGGGACCTCAGGGAAACTCTGCCACTGTCCTGCTTCCCCTGGGCATTGTTCCTCAAGCCCTTGCCCATTTGTATGTCACGTTGCTGTCATTTTTGTGAATCTTCACCTACATCTTACCTTGTGCTCCTTGAGAAGAGAGGCCAGACCAAGCTTACTGCAAGTCCTGGATCCCAGCTCAGGACCTGGTGCAAGACAAACATTGGGACTGTTTTGGTTTGAAAACAAATGGAGAAACAGGTTTAGAGAAGTTGATTTGCCCACGATTTACCCAGTTAAATCCAGAGCTGAGATCAAGTGTCCCAAGTTCTTAGTCACTAAGTTCTGCTGTCTCTGAAGTAGTGTATGATCATGATTTAACAAGCATGCCCTACTCTGTTTCAGTCTTGTGCTAGACAGTTCTGGGGACACAGCCATGACCCACACAAACACACCTCCTGTAGTGACAGTCCAGATGGATTCTGGGCTTAGTGGGAAAGCCCAGGGGTACTATGAGCTCAGATGACACCTGATCCAGCCTATGGGGAGCAGGGCTCAGGAAAGGCCTTCTGAGACGCTGATGTCTCAGCTAAGATCCATTGGCCAGGGGAAGAGGGAATCGTTCTGAGCCAAAGAAACAGCTGCATAAGAGCTCAGGAGAGGCTGGCCCATTTGGCCAAGCCTGAAGAGGACTGCCCCAGGGCTTAGCATTCCTCTTCCCCAACATCTCTTCCAGTTTGTTTCACAGCTGTGGAGATGCTGGGGACACAGTAGAAACCAAGGCAGCCCTGATCCTGGCCTCTCAGTCCAGTGAGCAAGGCAAACCTGTCAGCAGACAGTGATGACCGAGTATTATCAGGGTTGCACGTGGAACGCCCAGGGGTTTGGGGAAGCCCAGAGCGGGTGCTTTATTTATTCACTTAAACTGAGCTGCTGCTCTGTCCCTGGCCATGCTGAGGCCACAGCAGTCACCAAAACAGCCCAGCTCCTGAGGGTCCCAGGTTGAGAGGGACAAGGCCTCTTTTCTGGTTGCTCCAACACAGGTTTCAACCGCAGTGGAGGTGGTGGCTACAACCAGAACCGCTGGGGTAATAACAGCCGGGATAACAACAACTCTAACAACCGAGGCAGCTACAACCGGCCTCCCCAGCAACAGCCACCACCACAGCAGCCACCGCCACCACAGCCACCACCACAGCAGCCACCACCGCCGCCCAGCTACAGCCCTGCTCGGAACCCTCCAGGGGCCAGCAGCTACAACAAGAACAGCAACATCCCTGGCTCGAGCGCCAATACCAGCACCCCCACCGTCAGCAGCTACAGCCCTCCACAGGTGAGAGTGTGCGCCAGTGAGGCCAGGGAAATCACCAGCACACGCTCCGGCTACAGGTCGCCACTCTTACCTCCACCCCTGCCCGTCTTTCTCCCTGGCAGTGTTTTTGACTGGGACAGACCTTAGTCCCAGATCCCTTCCACACCCAGAGTAAATCAGGAGCCTACCTGTTCTCCCACCTTCCTCAGAGGGGGTGGACTGTCAGCATTGGTCCCTTTCAGCAAGTACATTTCTCTTGGCTCTGTCACTGGCCTCACTGAATCCCCAAAAACAGCAGTCGATTGGAGTTACCCCTTGCCCAGGCTGGAAGGGGCAGGCCTGCTTGTCTTCAGGATGTGGAGACAGCCCCTAAGGTCCTTGAGGACTTGCCCTCTGCCCCAAGAGCTTCACTCCAGAGTGAATCCAGGCTCAGTTCCAGTTCTCAGAACCCAGTGCTCAGGTTCTGGTATGCACAGGCCCCTGTTGACCAGAGCAGTCTCCATTTATTGCACAGCCATTTCCTGAGCACCTTCCACGTGCCAGGCCTGGGAACAGCTGCCAGGAGACAGAGGTGAATGGTTCCCAGTCCTGGTATAACCAGAATATTTCCTAGAACAGGAATTGGGCAAGCACACGTTCAAACCCCAGCCCCACGATGTTCTGGTTTTGTGACCATGGGCAAACAGCTTCACCTCTCTGGACCTCATTTTCCTCATAAAGTGCTAGAGTTGTTGGTAGAACTCACTTCTGAGGTTTGTCATGAGGGACGGGTGGCATTACAGTTTTGTGGGCAAGGCTTTGGAACTAGGGGGACCTGGGGTTGAGTCCCAGCTTTGCCACTTAGTCGTGTGACTTGGGCCCAGTGATTTCACCTCCCTGAGTCTAAGCTTCCTTCTCTGTAAAGTGAGGCTAAGGGGACTACCTCACAGAGTTGTTGGGGGATTAGATGAGATAATGATGCAGCGTGGACATGGAAAGTGCTTAGGAAATTGCCACTACTGTTTTCTCAGCAGCTCTTCCCCTAACAACTGCTACCACTTATTGAGTGCCCAGTGGTTTGTGCACACAGCTTAATGAATCCACAAGGCAATCTGAAGGGATAGTTCTGTTGTAATTCTCATTTTACAGGAAAAAAGAAAAAGCAGCTGGTATTTCAAGAGGTGCTGTGCGCCTTGCTCCCCCAGGGTCCCAGAGCTGGGGTTAGAGTCTAGGACACATCTTAGCCTGTCCTCCACGTCAGAGCTGACGCACTTCCTCCTCAGCCCTGTAACACCCTCCACCAGGGAATTTCCTTTGTAGGCCTACTGCTCTTAAAGTCCCTTCCTCCATCCCCGCTGAGCTGGCTATTTCACAGAGCCCTGGTTTTTCCCCTTCTTTCCAGCCGAGTTACAGCCAGCCACCCTACAACCAGGGAGGTTACGGCCAGGGCTACACAGCCCCACCACCTCCACCTCCACCACCACCTGCCTACAACTATGGGAGCTATGGTGGCTACAACCCGGCCCCCTACACCCCACCACCGCCCCCTACTGCACAGACCTATCCGCAGCCCAGCTATAACCAGTATCAGCAGGTAGGTGCCCCATGGTGGGGGTGGGCATTGGCGTGGAGAGACTTCCAGGGGCCCTGCATGGATGTGTATTCCCAGACTTGAGCTTCTTTTTATGCCTAAAAAAATAGGCAGCCTGCTGGCCTCAGGCTAGCATTCCTCTGGCATAGCCATTCCATTTGATGAACGTTTGTGCACTGGCTGCTAAGTAACTGGTATCCTAGCCCGTCTCCAGTGCAGCAAGCAAAGGGCACAGCAGGGGCCTCCAAATCCTCCTTCAGCACCACGGCCAGTGTCCATTCTGATTGGTTAGTATTAGGCTGCCAGACCTATTATTAAGTATTTTGAATATGGTCTCTAGCTGTACCTGAAAGGGCATTAGGTTGGCAAGCCAGGAGACCTGGGTTTCAGTCCCTAACTGCCCACCCATGTGGCATCAGGTCAGTCACTTGTCCTCCCGGGGTACCTTGATTTCTCTATTGGGCCAGTCTGTCGGCTGTTGTCACTGCACCCATCTCTACCCTGGGCAAGAGTGGGATCAGGGGAGGAGCCAAATGTGGATTTGGATGAAAGACAACCTGGAGCTCTTGGTTTCTCTCTCCCCAGTATGCCCAGCAGTGGAACCAGTACTATCAGAACCAGGGCCAGTGGCCGCCATACTACGGGAACTACGACTATGGGAGCTACTCCGGGAACACACAGGGGGGCACAAGCACACAGTAGCCAGTGTGCCCTGGAGGCCCCTGCCGGCTTCCTCCACCAGCGCCCACCTCGGCCCCCTCGTCTACCCCCACCGGGTCCCGTGGTGCTGGGGGACGGGTCACCCCAGGGCTGCCTCCCTCCAGCCCACTGCCTCCCCTCTGAGGGGCTTCTCCTCCCACACAGGGCCAGGCATTTTTCTCTGAATTCAAACAGGCAACAATGACCTTTTTTATTTTCTGTTTGTCCCCCCACCGCCCTTCTCCTCCTCCTCTTCCTCCTTTTTGACTAAAGACCCCTCCTCTCCCTCTGTCATACAGTGAGGCTACAGTGGCTGAGGGGAGGACCCTTTCCTGTCTACTCGTCCCAGCCCTGCTCCAGCCCCTCAGCTTCCCAGACCTTCATGCAGTTGGTTGTAAATTCTTCCAGGAGCTGTTTTACTGTCTACTTTTCAGGATTAAAAAAAAATCAAAAACTTAAAAAAAAAAAAGTTTAAAAAGCAAAATGCAGAGGGAGGAAGCAGTGGCAGATATTTTTTTGGTAATTATGCTTTTTTTTTTTTTTTTAATTTTTAGAATTTGTCCGTTTTTACTGTGGGTCGGCTGTTGGTATTTCATCAGGATAACCATTTCTTTGCTGAGTTCAGGTGACCGAGGAAGAGCCACACCCTCAAAACAAAACCACAGAATCATCTTTAACCTAACTTTTTATACGATGTCTCAGTTTCCCGTAACTTTGCACACAAGCTTCTGTGTTGAGTTGAATTGTAACTGCTTTTTGTATTTGGAGAGAGTGTGATTATTGAACTTGAAACCTTTTATTCCAGGCGTCTTGGTAGTTTCTGGTGGGATTAAGCGGGTGAGAGGGAAGAAGGGGAGGTCGGGGGAAGAGCTCCTTCCCTTCAGAACATGAAGTTTCTCCCACTGTCAGCTCTCCAGAGGTCTCCCAGGTGCCAGACCTAAAGGTTTTTCCTACAGTGATCCCCTGATTATTTTCACTTCCCCTTGACCCATATGTTTTAACAGGATTTTAACAAACTGCACTTATTAAGAAATGTGTTTGCCCTGTTTTGTTTTGTTTTCTTTCAATAAATCACATGGCACCTCCTAGCGGGAAGGAAGCAGGGTTGAAACCCTAAAGTGTTACTGCAGTTGGCCTTTAATTGGGGTTGCGGGCCTTCTCAAGGGGACATTATTCATTCATTAAACACTTATTGAGGGATTGGTGTGCCTGGCCCCATTTTTGGTGCTGGGGATGGCCCCCTTAAACTTGGGGCCCTCAGTTTAAAATCCACTAGTTCATCTTTTGCTGGTCTAGTAGTTAAGATTCGGTGCTCTCACCACCATAGCCTAGGTTCATTGCACAGTCAGGGAACCTCACCACCCGTCTGTCCTTGTCATACCGTGGTGGCTGCATGTTGCCACAATATTTAAAGCCATGTCTCTAGTGTTTTAAATACCAGCAGAGTCACCCACAGTGGACAGGTTTCAGCAGAGCTTACAGACTAGACAGACTAGGAAGAAGGACTTGGCCGCCCACTTCTGAAAATACTGGCCCTGAAATCCCTATGAATAGCAGCAGAGCATTATTTGATAGAGGGCTGGAAGGTGAGAGGGTGGTACAAAAAGACCGGGCAGGGTTCCACTCTGCTGTACACAGAGTCGCTGGGAGCTGGAATTGACACAACGGCACTAACAACAAAGTTCATTTTTAAAGTGGTTCTCTGGTCCCTGCCCCTTTCAGTCCACTCACAGTCCCAAATCCCTTCAGGAATTTGTGAGTAGAAGGCATGGAACAGGTCCCTAGGTGGAATGTGAGGCAGGGCCAATGGAGTGGAGACCAAGGCTGGACTGTTGGGGGTCATCACTGGGTGTGACTGCCCATCCACCTCAGGCCTGGCCTGTGTGCTGGACTTAGGACAGTTCCTGTCTACACTCCTGGGTCCAGGATAGCAGGGATTCCAGAAGCTTCTTTATCCAGCGAATAGGTGGTAGGTACTTCCTCTGCTCCTCACCACTTCTGGACCATGCTGGTGACAGCATGGCCAAGGCAGTACTGGATCCTGCCCCCATGGGGCTCCCAGTCCAAAGATGACACCTTTTGTCAAATAGTGCAATCATCAAGTGGTCAGCTGTGAGAGCCTGGGGTGGTGGGTGTGGTGCGCTGAGGGCTTCCTGGAGAAGGGAAATTTTTAAAAATAGAAGTGAGCCAGAATAAAAGACTCATTACATCCTCCTACCATTCTCCTTCCCTAGCAACTTGAGTCATTTCTTCATCCCCTCCAGACATGCTGTTCTGGCCCCTCGTGAGGGACAGTGCTGGGGGATAGGAGTGGCCAGTTCGGTGCCATCCCTTCTTGTCACTGGAAGTATCTCAGAGCCTTGAGGGAACACAAGCTACAATAAAAGGGAGGAGGAAGGTCAACTAGTTTTGAGGTCAAGGGTGGGGCGTCTGAACATGAGATGGAGCCAGGGTTGGTGGCTAGTTGAGCTAAAAGGCACCCTGGAGTGCCTCCCTCTCCTTGCTGGGGGAGGCCCTCTGGTCCTCTTCTGGGAAGGCCCCTTGCCTGCAGGTCCATGTGTTGGGCGACGGCGCCCTCTGCTGGCCTCTCTTGGTAATCTAAGTGTAGCCCCCACCTATCCAGTGTGACAATGAGCCACTTTCTTCCAGATCCCTTATCCTGGGAATGCAAACGGGAAGTTATTTCTCTGCTCCAGGCCACAGTGTCTGGATTACTGCACCAGCCTCCTCACAGATCTCCCTTAGCTCCAGTCCCTTAGCCTGATGCCCCCCTGCCCGCTCCCCTAGGAATAAAGGAGCTCAAGCTACTTAATACAGCTTATGAGGCCCCACATGCCTAGCCCCTGGTGACCTCACTGGCTTCGTCTTTTGCTGCTCCCCACTTGAACTCCAGATCAGTGGTTCATTCTGGGGGAATCAAAGATTCATTTTAGAGTCTATAAATGCCTTGGAAAATGCACACGTACATGGAAGTTTGCATATTTGCAAGTTTCTCAAATCCTCTGGCCTTCAGGTTAGAACTTTCCAATTCTCTGACCTTACTGAAGTCCTTGGAGAAACCAGAACTATCCATGCCTGCCCTCCTCTCCTGGGCTTTGCCTCACCCATCCTCCTGCCTGAGACCCTTCCCTACCCTCCCTTCCTCTTATCCTAATTCCTGCTCATCCTTCAGGTTCAGCTTGGGCGCCCCCTCCTCCCAGAAAGAAGCCTTCCATGACTCAGGCTGGGGCAGGCAGCCCCTGGGTCCATCAGAGCCCTGGCCACTTAGGGTAGTCACTGGTGACGTTCACTTACTCTGTTGATAACACACATCTGAACGTGAGTCCCCCATCACCTAGGGCAAATCAGGACCAGGATCGTCTTCCTCCGAGTGTGCAGACTCTCCAGTTCCTGGGAACACAAAGTGGGAAGTTCTATCTCTGATCTCACCACCCATCTCATGCTAGCCAAGGACTGGGTATGATGACAGAAGCAGGAGACAAGGCTTCCTAAATATTCTTTGAGATGAAGAAATAAGGAGATTGAATTACAAACCAAAGCACAAACTCTCAGAGGCTGTGGAGGGTGGTCATTCAACCATCCATCCCAAAGTTAACCATACCGGGCTCTGGAGTCACAGCAGTGAAGAAGTTGAACAATGGTTCAGATCCCTCCAGTATTCCAATTTTGTAGCAGTTCAGACGGAGACGGCAGCAATGCCCCTCTGACCCCGGAGTCCTTTTCCTTCCTGGCTGCGACAGGCCGGACCCGAGGGAAGTACGCATGCGCAAAGGGAGGTCCGCCTTTAGCCCGGAACTTTGGTTCCGAGCGCGGCGGAGCACCCGGCCCCGGGAGTGTGCTCTGCCGGAAGTGTCTGCTGAGGACGTGGGCTCTGGGTAGAGGTGCGGAGCTCGCCGCGGCGGTTAACAAGTCGTAGAGCATAACGATGGAGGCCGTGGCTGCTGCTGCGGCGGCGGCACGAGAACCAGATGAAGGTGAGGTCCTGACCACGCAGAGGCGGCGGGAGGGTGCGGCTGGTGTGTCGCTGGGAAATGATTCCCCTGAGCGCGAAGAAGGACTCTTCTGGGGGACACCTGCCCTCGGCTTTACCTGTCCCTTTCACCTCTTTGTCCAGATTAAACCCTCTCTTGTTGCGAGCTGACCTCCTTTACCCCGTCCCCTCCCCCGAAATTAACCTCTTCCAGGTTCCAGTCAGCCCTTTCCCTGTCCAATGCTAACCGAGTTTCTTCCGGGCTAACCCTCAGGTTAACACAATCCTCTCCCCCTTCCCAGGCTACCTCTCCCGTTGTCCGAGCCAACCCCGCTTCTCAGGTTACCTGCTTGCCTGTGTCAAACTGACCCTTCCCCTGCCCCAGGCCACCCCTCCTCCTCCTGTCCCCTGCAAACTCTGCTGATCCCAGATTAACGGCTCCCCGTTTCCATTCTAATTCTCCTTCCCCAAAGTCCACAGTCCCATCGGCCCCCTCAGGGTCTTTAATCCATTTCTGTGTTCCCCCATCTCTCTCCTTTGCGTATTCAATCTCCTTATTTCTTCTCATGCCTTCCCATCAATATCTAAAATGCTTTCGTTTTGCTCGTCTTAAAATTCGTCCCGCTGCTTCAGAGTAATCCCATGTAGGGTGAGCTGTGGTTGGGAAGTTGGTTGAAACATCACTGGCCAAGAATTGGTAATTGTTAAAGCTGGATGATGGATATATTGGGTATTGGGGTGGGGATGGGGGGTTACTATATACTCTCTACTTTTGTGCATGTTTGACGTTTTCCATAATTTAAAAAAAAAAAAGTTTTAACCTAAAATAATCTGTCGTTTAATCCCATGCTGCCTACAAGATACTGTCTACCTTCTCCGAAGAGTCCTCCACACTTGTCGCCATCTCCTCACCTGCCACCTGCTGCAGGTGACTTTTACCTTCCGAAGCTGCTCTGACTGGAGTCCCAATGATCTCCCTGTGTAGTTAAACTGAGTCACCCCATTCCTGTTTTCTCTTACTTTTTCTTCTTCTTTCATCTCACTCACTGCAGTAATACTAATAATCTTTATAGTCTGAGAAGTATTTGCATCTAAACGTGAAAGAATCTCATCGGACATAGACAAAATCCCATTCCGCCCATATCACACAATTAAAAATATCCTAGGACTTTTATTGGCTACTTGGAAAATTCAATGCTATTGACCCCTCCATCCTTCTTGAAAGTTTTCCCATGGTTTTTGTGACACCGCTCTTTCTGATTTCCTTCCTGTCTCAGGCTCCTCCTGCTCGGCCTCGGTTAGCTTCCTGTGGCTGCTGTAGCAAATTACTGCAAACTAGCCGGCTTAAAAGAAACAGAAATTTATTCTCTCCCAGTTCTGGAGGCCAGAACCCGGAACTCAGTATGACTAGGCTGAAATCAAGGCAGGACCGGGGAGGGCCTCCTCAGAAGCTCTGGGAGAGAACGCATTCCTTGCTTCTTCCAGCTGCTGGTGGCTTCTGGCATTCCTTGACTTCTGGCCCCATCATGCCAATCTCTGCTTCCATCCCTCTTCACAATGCCTTCTTCTCTGTGTGTCTCAAATCTCCCTCAAGCTCTCTCTTATAGGACACTTGTGATGACATTTAGGGCCCACCAGCATAATCCAAAATAATCTCCCCATCTCGAGATCCTTAATCACATCTGCAAAGACCCCTTTTTTTTTTTGGCCATATATGGTAATATTCACAGGTTCCAGGAATTAAAACGTAGCTGTCTTTGGAGGGGGGGCATTATTTAGCATCTCACAGCTTCCCTCACAAGAGTGTCTTCTCCCCATCCAATCAGGGCTCTTTCCTAGCCTGTCTTCTCTGCTCATCTCTCACATACTCCCTCCCTGCCCTCCCCAAAACTTCTCATTTTCTTCCGCTTTAGCTCTTGTCTTGGCTCAGACGACTCCCACAACTCTGTTCCCAGCCCAGCACTTCTCTCTTGAGAAGTCTCTAGTCCCATGTACCAGCAGTTTCTTAGATGCCTCTCCTCACATGTCCCCTGGGCCCGTCCTACATTCCGTGTCACAAACTGGCCTCAGCATCTTCCCCTAAACCTGTTCCTCATCCATGTCTCTGTCTTAGGGACAGTTTGACTTAACTGGATGCCCCCCTCACCTCCCAGGCCTTCCGCCCCATGGCTTGTCTACTCGGCCTCCCGAGCATCTTTCTAACCACGCCCTCCTATCACCTCCTGCACCAGTCCAGCTCAGTCTTCTCTTGCCTCAGTGCTTAAAACCCTCCCTGAAACCCATTGCACCTGTAACCATCACCCCTTTCTCTTCTCCGTCCCAGCCAAGCTACCTAAGAAGTGTCTGTACCATCTGTTTTCACTTACTCCCTGCTTGCTGCAGCCTTGCTCCTCTCCCCACCACTTTTGAGAAACAGCTTTCACAGGGTTTGCCTGGTGCTCAGCTTTCCTGTTACCAGTGCCTGTATTGTCTTTGACCTGGCCTGTCTCCCCTGTCAGACTGGGTGCTCCCTGAGGGCAAGAGCTGGATTGCATCCCTCCCATGGACCTTTAGCATTGCCGAGCTCGGTGCCTTGTTTAGATTTAGAGATGCTGAAGAGTGGCTGGAGGGATGTGTAAATGAATAGGAGAGAATGAGTGAGTGACAAGTTAGTGAATGTATTAATGATTTTGTGAACAAGTGGAAAGGCAAAGTATTGAGTGAATCAATGAATGAGGTGGTAAGGGACCAAGGAAACAGACCAGGCACAGTCCTACCTCAGGGCCTTTGCACTGGCTGTTTCCTTTGCCTGGATCTCTTCCTCCAGAAATCTCATGGCTCAGTCCCTCACCACCTCACCACCTCGGGTCTTACTGAAATGTCATTTTTTGGCAAGGCCTTCTCTAACAGTCCATTTAAAATTGCAGGCACCCCCCCATTCCCTCCTCCTTCCCCCCCCTTTTTTTTTTCCCACTGAGGAAGATTGTCCCTGAGCTACCATCTCCGTCAGTCTGCCTCTATTTTGTATGTGGGTTGCTGCCACAGTGTGGCCGCCATTGAGTGGCGTAGGTCTGTGCCCAGGAACTGAACCTGGGCTGCTGAAGCCCACCCTGCCAAACTTAACCACTAGGCCATGGGGCTGGCCCCCTCCTCCTTCCCTCTTTATTGCTCTACAAGGCTCCTACAACCACCTCACACACTCTATGTTTCCCAACACACTATATGTTTTCAGTGATTGTGTTTTTAATTGTCTGTGTCTCCCCCTAAATGTCAACTTGCTGCTTACTGTGGTATCTCTAGGGCCTAGAACAGTGTCCAGAATACAGTGGGTGCTCAGTAAATGTGAAACGAGTGAGTGAGTGAGCACCCAGTCCCTTCTACCCGCCCTCTCTTCCCCCACTCCCACCCCTGGACTAACAGATCTCCCCCTCCCCACAGACTGCACGGAGCCCAATCCTGGGCACTGGGGAGAGCTGAGCTGTACGTCGGTCCCATCGAGACCCCAGGACAAGGTGGAAGCAGCAGAGGGAATGCCCAGGACCCTGGACGATGATCCTCCTGGGGCCGAGAACCCAGCGGTGAATGCCATGCTGCGCGCCGTGGCTGCCAGCCGCCTGCCCGTGTGCAGCCAGCAGCAGGGTGAGCCTGACCTGACCGAGCGGGAGAAGGTAGCCATCCTGGGCCAGCTGTACCATGAGAAGCCGCTGGTGTTCCTGGAGCGCTTCCGCACGGGCCTCCGCGAGGAGCACCTGGCCTGCTTTGGCCACCTGCGTGGTGACCACCGAGCAGACTTCTACTGTGCCGAGGTGGCCCGGCAGGGCACTGCCCGACCCCGCACTCTACGCACCCGTCTGCGTAACCGGCGCTATGCTGCCCTGCGAGAGCTCATCCAAGGTGTGGGGGCAATGGGCTGGGCGGGAGGGAGACCACGGCAGAGGAAGGAAGAAACAAGGATGCAAGAGCAGAAGCACAGACAGAGATCCTGGGACATAAGTTTTGAGACAGGGACATACAGAGAGACTGAGACAGAAATATGAACTGATGGGGCAAGATAGGTAGAGACAAACAGGGACCCAGAGGTAGAGAATGGCACAGGCAGTGAGAAGGTTCAGAATTTAATAGGTGACAGAAGTGCCATTTCAGATCAGTGAGCCAAGGACACAGCACCCAGCACTGTGGTAACTGGTTATCCCCCAGGAAGACTAGTTCCTACCGTACACCATACACAAGGCATTGACAGAAACCTAGGGAGCATGTTTATGACCCTGGGGATGCAAGGCCTTGAACAAGACACACACGTGAAAACCATGAAGGGAAGCATCGATACCTTTTTAACTGTGACATATTTACAAGTGTCTCTGTGACCAAAGACACCAGAACTAAAGTTAAAAGATGAGAGCAGATGAAGCAGAGAGTTAAGATTCTGGTCAGGGAGAAGTCACGGGCTATAGAGAGAGGGCTACAGAAAAAGTGGGACACAGTGACAGGCAGAGAGCAAAGATGAAGACAGGAGGGAGGATGAATGAATGAATGAGGTGGGGTTGGGGGCCAGAAACTGAGAAAGCAAGAGAGACAGGGTGGAGACGGGCAGAGGAGGAGAAGGAAAAACTGAGTCCCGGTTGGGGGCGGGGGGGTGACAGTCAGAGACAGGGAGAAGGAGGGAGACAAACAGAATCTGATGGGAAACTCCATAAACAGAGTGATGGGGGGTAAGAGAGAGGCTAAGATAGAGGGCAAGACGGGAATGGTCACAGAGCTTGGTGCTACCGAGGCCAGGATTCCAGGCAGATTCTTGCCCTGGGTTCTGAAGGCAGGGCTGGGACCAGTGGGTGGGAGGGACCAGGGCAGGTTTGACTGTTGCCTGAGGGACAGAGCGACCAGGAACAAGCAGCCAGGGGAGATGCAAAGGACCCGGGTTTGGGGGTGGTGGGGAAGCCAGGCCCACCCGAGGGGTGGCTGCAGAGGAGCGTCTGAAGAGAGGTGAGATCTGGGGTCTAGAAGACCACCAGGGACACCCACAGCTGGGCAGACGCACTGCCCTACCTGATCCTCTGCACACACATTCCAGCTCCACACGGATGTACATTACATGCCCAGCGGTGCAGGCGTATCCAGGTGTGCACACTGCCAACCAGACCGCGGCTCAACAAACAGGCACACACCACTGACAACGCTGGCTCCTGTGCGCAATGCACCTGCCTGCCACATCCTGCACGCTGGCTCCCAGAGACACAGGTCCCCATGGGCAGTGTGCTGACCACACGGGAAGACGTATAGGTGTGTGCTGGTGCACACAGACTGATGGGCAGCAGCTTGTGAATCCTGCCCGGGCACAGTTGTACAGGGTCCTCAGACCCCAGTGCCTCAAGGGCCAGGATGTACACGGGGCTGACTGTGCATACACACTTGTGCTTGGATACGTGACTACACGTGCAGAAACAGGCCTGGTCATGCACACATGCTCAGACACATGCATGACTCCTTGTGGCCACACAATGTCAGGCATCTGTGCCTATTTTCCTGTACACCTGAATGTGCACACACACCTACACTTGTGGACCAGCATGATCACACACATGCATGGACAGAGTTCTGCTCAGACACGCTCACTCTATGCCCAGCCCTTTGCCTCACCTGCAGGCCCCTGACTCTGCGCCTGCCCTGTCCCCGTCTGTGCAGGGGGCGAGTACTTCAGCGACGAGCAGATGCGGTTCCGGGCCCCACTGCTGTACGAGCAGTATATTGGGCAATACCTAACCCAGGAGGAGCTCAGTGCCCGTGCCCCAGCCCACCAGCCGCCCAAGCCCGGCTCCCCCGGCACACCCGCCTGCCCGCTCTCCGACCTGCTGCTCCAGTCCTACCAGGAGCGGGAGCTGCAGCAGCGGCTGCTCCAGCAGCAGGAGGAGGAGGAGGCCTGCTTGGAGGAGGAGGAGGAGGAGGAGGACAGTGACGAGGAAGGTGAGAGCCAGCAGCAGGGAGACCCCAGTGTCCGGACACCACAGCCCTGGCCCTGTGTGTCTCCATTCCATGGCACCAGGCTGGACCACACCCACAAGAGGAGACATCACGTCCTTCCCCTGCCTGGCCTGACCCCCCTCCTACCCCCACCGTGTGACCGGCCCTTCCTGACCTCACCAGCATCTCTGTCCCCACTCGTCAAAGGCCCCAAGTGATCCCTCACCTCCAGACCTTTGCTCGTGCTGTTCCTTCTGCCAGGAATGCCTTCCCTTCACCATCCTTCAGGTGTCCGGTCCTAACTCTAGTCTACAGCCTGGTTCTACAGTCATTACGTATTTGATGTGTGCCCCGGGAGAGCACAGACTGGGGCATCCTGGTCACTGTTGTGTTCCACTCAGCACAAAGGAGACAGCTCTCTGTGGGCACGTGTTCAGCGCCTGCCTGAGAACCCCCCTCACACTCCTCCCCCCACCGTGGGTGTCTCCCCCTACAGACCAGAGGCCCGGCAAAGATTCGGAGGCCTGGGTCCCCGACTCGGAAGAGAGGCTGATCCTGCGGGAAGAGTTCACCAGCCGGATGCACCAGCGCTTCCTGGACGGGAAGGACGGGGACTTTGATTACAGGTACTCCTGTGTCCCCACTTCCCCATCCCCCAACGCAGCACCGCACAGCCCTCGGCTACGTGCCAGATCCAAAGCGCCTCCATGGAGGGCCACCTTTGGTGGTGCTAGAACGCCCCAGAACAGTTCCAGGTCATGGGCCATGGAGTCAGACAGCCTAAGGATTTCACAACAACCAAAGATCAGTGGGTGACCCTGGACCTAGCTTTGTCCATCTCAAAGCCTCAGTCCCCTCGTCCGGGAGGAAGGGAAGGAGCAGGGCTGACGTTCAGCTCAGTGTTGATAAGACATTGAAGCATTTCCATCCGGTAAGTGGTGGTGACCTGGTAGGATGCCACCACCCCCAAGCCTCCCAAGTGGCCCCCAGGTACCCCAGATTCTTCCCCAGGACCCCAGACCTCCTCGTGCTGCAGAAAGTAAGCCCTGGCAGGGTGAATGCCTAGTGTGCAGAGGCCCGTGGTGGGCGACCCTGCAGTGCTGGTGGTTAATTTCTCCACTCTAACCCAGGGGCGAGGCACATGGGCCCCCTGCTTTGAATAGGAGAGTGAGGTGTCAGAGTCAAAGATAAACGGGTTTATCAACTGAGGCAGTCTCGCCTTGTGGTCCCGAACACCCGGTGTGGCAGCAGAGGGCCCTGTTTCAAATCCAGCCCCGAGGACATAAGAACAAGGGGACCCTCGGGGGCTCATCAGTAGAAGGGGGGTCATGATTGCCTCTGCCACAGGCAGCATGGGGGATGAGCATCACCGGCTTGATGTGGAATCCCATCCCTCCCCGACCCGACCCCCGGCTCTGGAGGCCAGTCTGGCTGATCACTTCCAGCTGGGGTGGAGCCTCAGCCTGAGTTGCCACACAGAGCAGTGAGCAGAGTGCCTGGGCCATGGGGAGCCCTCAGTAAGTACACCACTGCCTTCCTAAAGCCAGGTGCCCACGAGGAAATCGGGCCTGGCATGAGGAATGGGAGTGGTGGGGACCGAAGCCTGTCCCCTCTCTGGGGGACAGCTACTGGGCAACAGCCCTACAGGTCCCTCATCTGTATTCAGCCACCACGTGCTGAGCACCCACATGTGGGAGTATCCAGGCTCTGGGGACAAAGCAGGGAACAAAACGAACAGAGAGGGTCCCCTGCCCTGAGGGGGTCCCACTCTAGTGAGAAAGGCAAAGAAGCATCTAGATCTAGTGGTGATGGGCCATGAGGAAAAATAAAGCAGGGTCTGGGGCAGAGTGAGGTGACCAAGGAGGCTCTCTGAGCAGGTGACATTTGAGCACAGACCTGCGGGAAGTGAGGGGTAAGCAACATAAATATCTGGGGGAAAAGCATTCCTGGCAGTGGGAACAGCAGGTGCAAGAGCCCTGAGGTTGCACGGAGGAAGAGCAAGGTGGCTGGGGTAGCTGGAGCAAGGGGTGAGGGACAGGAGGTGTCCTCAGAGGTGGTGGGGCCGATCGGGCAGGGCATCCTACACTAGAGTGAGTGATGGGAGCCGTGGGAGGGTTTGGAACAGAGCCAGGGATCCTCAGTTTAGGATCACTTGTCACCCTAGGGTAGGGTTTCTCAGTCTCGGCACCATGGACCTTTTGGGTTGGCGATTGTCCTGTGTGCGGCAGGATGTTGAGCAGCATTCCTGGCTTCAACCCATTAAATGCCAGTTGTGACAATCAAAATGTTTCCAGTTATCACCAAATGTTCCCTGGGGGTCACAGTCTTCCTTGTTGAGAACCACTGCCTCGGGCACGTGGGCCCGTGTGTCACTACGTCTTCCAGCTTTTCAAGAAAAAACCGAAGTCTTTATGTAAAATCTCTGATTTGGAAAATGTTGGCTTTTGTTTGAAGCCCTGCAAGACCCAACATCCCCTTCCAGGGGTTAGCTCCAACTTACTGCTGCCAATATAGGGCCTTTGGCCTCAGGGGTCCCTAGGCCCCAGCTCCTCCAAAGGGTGAGAAGCAGAGGGGGTTGTCTGGGGCCCCAGGCAGAGCCAGCCCCTGACAGCCCCTCCCCCTGCAGCACCGTGGATGACAACCCTGACTTCGACAACCTGGACATTGTGGCTCGGGATGAAGAGGAGAGGTACTTCGATGAGGAGGAGCCTGAGGATGCGCCCAGCCCAGAGCTGGACGGGGACTGATGGCCACCCACCCGCACCGCCCCAACAAGGCAGCTGATGACAGGCCGGCCCAGTGACTTTCTCCAGGGGGCACCAGGGCAGCCACCCCACACCACAAGCCTCACTGGATCCTGTCCCATCTCAGACAGCCCCTCCCCTCTGTGTTGAGTTCCCTACCTCCCTCCTCACTCTGCTTTCCTTCTCTTTCCTGAACCCTACCTCTGTTTCTTTCTCATTCTCTGTCTCTCTCTCCCTCTCTCTTTTTCCTCTCTCTTTTTTTCTCCCCCTCTCTGTGCCTTGGTCCAGGATGTACGTCCAGCCCTTGACTGGGGCCAGCTGGGCCTCGTAACTGGAGCCGGCCAGGTAACCCCAGTGCCCAACTCAGGGTGGGGCTGACCCTTGGCCCCAGAGCGGCTCTCTGCCTCCCTCCCTGGTCTCTGCCCCCGTCTTCCTCCACCTCTCTGCTGACGTCTTGTCATGCCTCCTTGTCTCGGTTACATTCCCATCTCTCCTTCGGCCTCACTCTCTGGGTCTGTGGTTCTCCCTGCCCTACATTTCCGTCTCTCGGCCTCTGCGCTGTCTCTGTCCCTCTGTCTCTCAGCCTGTATCTCTCTTGAGTTTCAGTGTCCCCTCAACCTGACTGTTGTGGGCAGCAGAACCCTGACTGCTGAGTAATGTGGCCTCACTGTGGGCAGGTGGGAGACCCCAGGGGTGGCCACCAGCACTCACCTCCCCCTAGGGACCCAGGCCTCTGAGAGGTGGGCAGGGGCAGCACTGGGGTTCATGGGCCTGCCAGCTTGGTGGGGAGGGGGGATTCTCCCATCCACCCCCCCCCCCCCCCCCTCTGCCCGGCCACAGTTTTCCCTTCCTTCACTTCCTCCCTCTCCCTCTCCTGTTTACACTCCCCAAATACGCACAGGCTGTTATCATGGGTCCTGAGTCATCCCCCACACACACAGCCTGCCCCAGCATCCCTCCCCCCAGCCGGCCACAGGGCCCGCCTCATGGAGCCCCCCGCCGCCCCAGGCTAATGGGAGCCAGATGGCCGCCTGGTGACTCAGCCACCGGCCTGTGGGAACCCAGGCGTCCCGCCTTCCCATGCCCCCACACCCAGCTCATACTCCCCCGGTAGACACACACAAGAAGGGGCCAGCTGCTGGAGGGGGAGGGCAAAGGCCAAGGGTCAGAGAGGTGGGGCCCAGGGACCTCTCCTGTGAGCTGGAATAGTGGCATCGTGCCATGGCTAAGCCTGAAAGACCCTCAAAGCATCTCCTTGGGCATGCGGCCCAGAGTGAGGAGAAGACCCCGAGGCCTCCCGGGGCCACAACTCTTGACCCCCCGGGCCTGACCTCTGCCCTCTGGGTCAACCAGAATTAGAGCCAGACACAGAAAGTGAAAGCTGGATGGAGGCCGAGGGACGTTCAGACGGAGAGACTTAAATAAGGAAACGTCCGGTTACTGAGCAGTACTGTCTGTGCCAGGCCTGAGCAAGGTGCCTGACGCCTTGGACTAGGGACTCAGCTCCATCTCATAGATGGGTCAAGGGAAGCCCAGAAGGATGTTACTTACTACCGGCCGTGCTGCCGTCAGAGATGGAAACGCAGGTCTAGAAGCACACTAGTCCTAGAGACTCAACTCGCCTGCCTGGCCGACGTCAGGGCTGCTCAGGAGTGAGCAGGTGCACCGACAGACTGCTCAGATGGAAAGACTGAAGGAGAGTTAGCTGTCGAGGAGGCTAGCAGCTGATGCCTTTGGGCTCCTTCCCTGCACTAGGCACTGTCCTACACACTGACGGGACCGAATGATACGTGATCATCATTGCTACAGTGATGATGCGTGATCAGTACTGAATCCCTGAACCATCACAGTGGTCCTGTGCAGGACATGCTCTCGGTATTGCCATCCCGTCTCCCGGAGGTGGCCGCAAGTGATCCAGCCAGACTCACATGAAGAGGAGAGAAATGGAGGTTTGTCTCTCAGTCTCTCAGGTACTCCTTGTGTTTATGCCCTCAGGTTGTAAGAGCTCTTTCAAAACACAGGGATCAGCCCTTGGTAAGGTGCACATTTTTTTCACCAGTCTATCATTTGATCATTAAATTTGTTTGTGATATACTTTGCCATACGTAAGTTTGTTATATAATAAAAAAAAAGGTGATGAGAGACAGCAATTGAGTCAGAATTAGGGTTAGTCAGATGGTGGAGACAGGAGCGTCTGTAGCTGAGAGAGGTGGAGCTGTTCAAGAGGGGTGGCGAGAGACACACCCCCGGCAGGAGCAGCTGAGACCTGGAGGTGCCTGAGAGGCGCCTGTCCCTCCGCCCCCAGTTCTGGGCTTGGGGTGGGCGGAGAGGCTGAGTCAGGGAGGGAGAGCCCCTCCGTGGGCATCCGGCCCCCACCCCACGTCTCCTGTCCATCCTGGCCCTGGCCGGGCCCTGCTGGCCGCCACCCCCACCCCCTACGTCTGTGTGTCCTGCCAAAGCTGACAAACTGACTCCCTGCCCCTCTCCTGTCCTCCAGCTGCCTGGCCCCCACTGTCGTTTCTCCCTTCTCCTCCCGCCTCTCCATCATTCTTTTCATTCTGTCTCTGCCCCTTTCTGGCTATCAGTGTCTCCCCATCCCATTTCATCTCCCCTCTCTCAGACCTTCTTTCTCTCTTCCCCTTCCCTCTTTTCCTGGGCCTCTGCCTCTTTTCACTTTCCTTCCTTGTTACTCCCTCCATCTCAGTCCTTGAGCTTCTGCTCCTGTCTCCCACTGTCTCTGTAACCCCGTTTCCCCAGGCCTTTCTCTGTCGGAGTCGCCCCTCCTACTCTGTCTTCGTCCTCATGTTTTCCTCTCCCTCTCCCTGCTGTCTCTCTCGGCCTGCCCCCCTCACCCCATCTCAGTCACTGTCCCCTCTTCTCTGTCTCCCAGACCCTGGGAAGCCCAGCGGGGATACCCAGGTCAGAGGTTCACTGGTGACTCCTGGGAACCCAGAAAGGGTTGCTGCCTCTCCCCTACCAGAAAGGGGGCGGGAAGGGACAGCGAGGCTGTGGCCTGTCTGGCCAGAAGGAAGTGTCTGTGCTGTGGCCTGGTCACCCCCGCCCCCAGGACCTGCCGGGCTGCAGCCGCCCCCGGGCTGGCCCGAGTAAACACAGCGGCCGGCAGCCCGGGATATTTATACCGAGGGCCGGGCGCGGGTCCAGTGCCCACCACAGCCCCTGCCCTGCCCTGCCCGCCACAGCCAGCCCTGAGCCAGCGTGGCACCAGCCGACAAGGGGATGCACCGCAGACGCAGCCTCCACTCAGTACAGAAGCCACCAGGCACGTCGCTCGGGATGCCAGTGGCTTCACTGGGGACACAGTGCCCCCCCGCCCCCCAGGAACACCAGCACAAAACACAGACCTGCACCACAGCTGCTCGTGAATGTGAACATGAACACACACCCGCCCCGCTGAGAACTTGAAACTCCCTTGAAAGTGATGCAAAATGAAAACCCACACAACTGCTCACACACTGAAGTCACCAGCCCACATGTGGGGACACAATGCAGATACCACCTGCTCAAAGACACCCACAGAGGCTCAGAACACCAATCCCCGAGATGGACACGTACACACACACGCTGGGAGAACAACAGCAAGCATGTCGGAAACACCACATAGACACACAAACATGCTCAGAACACCAGCAACACACACACTGATCACAAAACAACCCAGAAACAACTTGCCCACAGACACCAACACTGGGCACTCACACACACACACACGCGCGCGCACACTGAAAACAGCTCATGTAAGAAACACAAAACAACACCTCCTGGGAAGACACTTTTCTCACAGACCCATAAACACAGAAAACACCCACATTTCAAGCCAGACTTAACACTAAAAATTTACACCCAGAGAAGAACAGCATGGATGTTGAGAAGAAATTCAGACACACAACACGGCCCAGGGCTTCAGCCCACTCACATACACAGACTCGCCGAGTCACAGTGTCGGGACCCAGCACCCAGAGAGTTCACGAGCAGAAACATAACATGCAGACACGCACACCAGAAATGCAGCCTGGCTACAAAGACACAGAGTCGAACATGTGCTGGGGACACACACACGTTGAAAATACCCATCTATCCCCAGCACAGCCCGCAGACACCCAGCTGTTGTGTGAGAGACCCCCATGCTAGACACAAAACTCACCACAAAGCTTCCAGACTCACACACACAAAGGGGTCTGAACTCAAATTCACATGAGAAACACGCAAAAGACACCAATACTCGGGATGTCCAGAGATTTAGAGGGAAGGAAGTTTTCTCTGTCTCCCCCCTTTCTCTCTCTCCCTGTCTCTCTCTCTCTCTCTTGTGCTGACCCCAGTCCCATGCCTGTCTGAAGGAGGGGGCAGGAAGACCTGAGCTGGCCTCCCCGGGCCCTGCTTCCTGCCCCATGGGGGCCGGACGGGAAGCCGGGGCTCCAGCCGGAACCCAGGCTCCCCCCATGACTTCCCTCCCTGCTTGTGGAGTGGGGGGAGGGGAGTGGGCACCATGAACCCCTGATCCCACCCCTGTAGTTGGCTGGGGGCCGGGGCTGCCTCCTCCTACCCAGGCCTGGCCAGCCCGAGGGGCTGGGGGTGCTTGAGTGGCTGGGCTGGGGCAGTGCCCACGCAGCCTGGGGAAGGTGCTGAGCCCGCAAGTTTCCCTTCCTGGCTGCAGTGCCAGCTCACCAGGCAGCCCCGGGCAGGTGGGCGGGGTGTGTCATAAGGGCGTGGCGAGGTCTCAGGCGACCGTGGGAGTGTGCAGCCCCAGTGTGCAGCCAGGACTTGTCCTCGGGCTGGGGCACGAGCTGGGCGTGTGAGGGCCGCGACCCTGGGGGTGTGTCTGGGTGTGTGGGACTGCTCCGTCTGGGACCTGGGGTGTGACAGTGTGTCTGGTTATGACAGGCCATGTGGGACTCCCCAGGCCCGAGCCTGTGGGGCTGTGAGATGTCAGACTGAGTGGGCACAACCAACTGGCAGTCTCTGTGATCCTGATGTGTCAGATCTCCGTGTGTGGTGTGTGTCTGGGTGGGACTGTGACGTGTCAAGTCGTGTGCGTGCGCACTCTGCCTGTTTTTGACTGTGACCCCGTGGAGGATGTTTGTATAACTGTTGGTGGGTCCCGGCCCGAGTCTCTGTTTCATTTCCTGATGGCGCTTTGATGCTGGGAGGTGTGAGTCTGTGCGTGGCCCTGTCTCTGAATCTGTGTCTAGTGTGTGGTGGTTGTGACTGTGACCCTACAGAATGTATTTGTGTGATTGTGTTTTGCCATGTCCCTACTGAAGTCTCTGCTTGTGTCATGTCCCAGTGAAGCTCCAAGGCTGGACTGTGTGTATGCAATGGGCGTCATGTGTGTCCGCCAGGTGTCACAGTTCATGTGTCATGGGTCCTATAAGAGTTTTTGCGTGTTCATTGTGGCTCTGAGAGATGAATGTGTTTGCGTGGCTGTGGGACATCGTCCATATTTGAACCTCTGTACGAGTGTGAATGTGTGTGTACACATGCCGCATCCTCATGGAGCAGCAGTGACTACAGTCCATGTCGCTGTGTTCTTGCAAGTGTCTCCACACACAAGACTGGTGACAATGGCAGTGTTTCCTTGCATAGTGAACTCCTCCGTCTCCCACCTCACCCCTGGCCCTCTGTGGTTCCCTAACCTGGGGCAGGAGAAATAAACCACATTTCTACCCCTGGGCTGGGCTGGGAGGGCCCTGGGGCCCACTCACCCAGACCTACTGCCACCCATCGACAAACACTGTCCTCCTCCAGGACAGTCACCACGCAAAAGAGCAGGTCAGGGCCCCCGGCATGAGAAGGGCATGGCAGAGAGAGGGGGAACTGAAAGCTGAGAGGAAGAGGGGGAACTGAGAGGCCAGAGAAAGAGGAAGCAGAGAATTCACAAGCGAGACCACAACAGATGGCAAGAAACAAGACAGCCGAGGGAAAGCCACCCTGCCTCAGGGCACTGTCACTTCTCGCCTGGACAACTGGTCTCCCTGCAATCACCCTTGCCCCATTCAATCTTCTCTCAACCGCCAGCCAGAGGGACCCTCTGAGCACCAACATCAAATCACACCTCTCCTCTGTTCAGAACCCTGTCATGGCTCCCATCTGCCCCAGAGTACAAGTTCTCACAGGTTCCCACAGGCCTGATGTGGCCTGGAAAGCAGTACCAGGGCAGAGGTTACGTGCACAGACCCCCCACTCGAGCTGCGTAGGTTCAAATCCCAGCTCTACCACTTGCTAGCTGTGTGACCTTAACCTCTCTGAGCCTCAGTACTCCCATCTGTAAAATGGGGAGCAAATGGTCTCTATACCACAAGTCGGCAAACTTTTTCTATAAAGGGCCAGATAGTAAATATTTTTGACTTGGCGTACAGTTTCTACTCAACTCTGCCTGGGGAGCACTAAAACAGCCATAGACAATACATAAAAGAATGAGCGTGGCTGTGCTCCAATAAAACGCTACAGAAACAGGCAGTGGGTCAGAATTAGCCTGCAGGCTGTAGTTTGCCAACCCCTGTTCTGCTGGGCCGCGGGGAGAATGCAGCGAGCTAGTAGCTTCATACCTGGCGTGGAGGATTGTTATTACTTCTGGCCTGTGAGCGCTGCCGTCTGACTCAGCTCCCAACCCCCTTCCTCTTGCCCCTCCCTTCCAACCACACTGGCCTCTTCCGTGTAGCTCCCCGTGTAGCTTACCCAAGTTTCTCCTCACCTCCAGGTCTTTGCTTTTGCCCTCCTACCAAGAACAACACTCTCCCCGGATCCTCCCCCAGGCTACCTTCTTGGCTTCCTTCAAGTCCCAAATGCCACCTCCTCTGAGAAGCCCTCCCTCCCCTCCAAAGCCATCTCTCACTCCACCCTGCTTTTCTGTTTGGTACCACTTCCACTTCCACTGTCACCTCCCCATAAAGTACGTTGCTGGTGGACAGGAACTATTGCCTTAACCTCTCTGGGCTTCCGTTTCCTCACCGTTAAAGTCGGTGTTATCCAAGTCCCCGTACCTCAGAGCTTTGCTACGGTGATTAAATGAGTTAAGTGATACAAGGCGCTTAGAACGGGGACTAAGGTGCTCAATAAACAAACCAGTGTTCAAACCA